AACATTAATTTTAGCAAATAATTTTCATGAAAACTTTTTTTTATTTCGCAACAAACTGAAATTTTAATTTTTCTCTAAAGAAAACAGAAGATCAAATGATTTCTTTTTTGTGATAGGGAATGACCAAATTTTCAATTTTTGAACTTAATATCTAACATGACAATTCAAATTTATTATAGTTAAGGAACTCTGCCTTGTAGTAGCTAACTGATTTTATATTTGGTACCTTATACAAATATACCATTCAACCGAAGACTTCATGTATCATATATAATATTAATTACATTTATATGATGATATTTCTAAAATATTATATCTCGATCAATCAAAGAAAATATATTTAAAATATCATGAAACGGTAATGGTATATTATATGGCCAGACAAAGCAGACAGACTTAAAGAAGTCTTTTCGATTTCGAACTTTATAACTATAGAAATTGACTTACACATATTTTATGAAATATGATACCGTAGTATGATTTATATTTTTAAGTTAACTGGTAGGAAGTAATTAACAATTATTAAACAGTGTCATTTTGGGTATGGGACGAATAGGGTTTTAATACAATGAAGCTTAAAAAAGGTTTTAGCTTAGAATTGTTCGTTATTTGTTGTATTGTCAGGTAGCGTGTAATGACTGTGTCAATTGTATTATGATAATTGTAACATAAGCGAAAATAGAGTAACATTTAACAATCACTAATTACAAAAAATAATAAATGACTTTCAATTGCATTGTGATTATCTTACAAAAGGATTCTAGTAATTTCTTAATGTAATTAGATAATGTCTTACTTTGTCGCACCTGCATATTAATGACCACCCATTAGTTTTCAATAGATTTAAGCTCACAATGCAAATAAGTTAATAATACCAAAATTTTGTAGTAGCAATCCCAGTTATAATTAACCAAAATTATAATTTTCTTGTTAAATAATTATGCAATTAGTAAGTTGAATAGAATCATTTCATTTGTCCAATTTTTTACAACTTTCCCATAATCGTTTGTGAATTATCGTTTGATATTTTAAATAAATTACTTAACGATTTTGTTACCAACTTTGATCTAATAAATAAAACTATAATATGGGATATAATATAAAGCTAAATTGTATTCTATGCCAGAGTAAAGTGTATTTGTACAAGTATTAACATTATTTCCTTAATATAAGTGATGTAATTGTATAAATCAATAAAGAAGGAAGATTGCTCATTTCATGTAATTGATAAAATATTTGATTACACTCCTCGTGAGTCAAATTATTATCATGCTGACGGTGCAATTACTCAGGATTGATTAACAGTACAATATTTGATGCACTACACATCTTTCATTCATTCATTCAATTAAAAAGTTATGATAAAATAATTTATTTAAAATTAAATCACCATTAAAATTGACGTAATAGGACAAACTAAGTACACATCTTCCCTTACAGATACCTAATGATTTCGGGAAGTCAAAAAAAAACTGCATCTATATAATCATTGTTTTAACTTCATAAAGAATTACGTATATATTACACATATATTCAGAGAATATTTTCAAATAGTTACCACAATCATTTAATTGATATTTATTATATAAATATAATCATATGGAAATTTATATAATATCTAGCTGTATCGCTATGTAATTATGGTTTATATTTTTATATGATTTTGACTTGAATTCCTCACAATTTGCTTTTCCATATCTTTTTCATGCAATATCCAGAAATCATTCATGGTTTTAGTATTATACTTGGAAGATTTATCTAATTACATGAGATACATTTCATTTAAACCGTTGTTTTATGTTTAGTGTTTGAAGCTTTAATAACATTAGTCAACAAAGACGAGTCTTCTGGATTATTATTATAACGACCAAATATAAGTCACAGTACAACAAATATATAAAATACTATATATTTTTTAATCTAATTTGTAGAACTAGTAACATAATTATACGAAAGATTTCTATTAAGTATCCGATTGATATCTGATTTAAGTTGTGACCATGACGGTGCGTATTTGGGAATGTCACCATTCAAAGGAGTTACTACAACGATGTCGTCATGATAATATAAATTCTGCTTAAAATGATGATCAGCTATACAGTTATGGTACCCTGGTATTTCCCTAAATCTCAGACGAGGCATATGAATACATGGCGTAGTGATTAAGATCACGTATACTCTTATGATGAAATTATTAATATTATGTCATGGTTCGAAAGAAAGTATAGAAATGATAATTAATCACATGCGTCTGTACCCATATGAGATATTTGGATTTCTAATAAATATTTTTTAAATTAATTAATAACTAATTCTGTCACTGGTATTTTAAGCTATTTTTAATATTTTTCCTATACTTGCAACATTCTGATAGTTCCTATAAGGCTAGACTATATCTCGCAAAAGGGACTGTTTGCGTCATCTTCCGTCATTATTCTAACAATTGATATAATGACGCAAAGTTCAAGCTCAAAACAGACAATTTTCAAGAAATATGTACTAAAATAACCAACACGTAGCTCAGACTAACGGTAGTAGAAATATTGGTATTACCTTAAAAGTCAAAGTAAATATTATCTAATGAACATGAACTTCGAAGTAAATTGATGACGTCTTCATATTACTTTTACGGCTTTTTATCAGACTATTGTAAATTATGTATTATAAAAAACATATTTATTTACACAAATTGACTCCTCCTTATTTTTATTCAATTCATTTAACAAGTCTTATTATATATTGATACTATGTAATGGAATATATAAAAAAAATTATACAACTAGATGAGATGTATCAAGCGACAAAGTTATAATATTTTAATTAAAAATCATGTGTATAGTAAAAACAATTCTTTAATTGAATGGTTACTAAAAAATTATATTTCGATGTTTCCAAATACATCACGTACCAAAACCGAAATCGATGACTTCATATTATTATAGAATTTTTTTACTGCATTTGAATATAAAATATTGTAAGCGATAAATTTCCTCGTTTGTGGTATGCGTATGTGATGCATCTTGCAAGATTGATAAGTCAGGTTAATTTGTCGCCGTGCTGTCTAGTTATTTTAGAATTTCGCTTGATAAGCTCCTAACGTTATCAACAGGAAGCTCTCTACTGATATAAGGCAGGTGTCGTTCATTCAAGGAACTTATATGACGTAAGTCGTGTCCGGCCATATAGTAAGAAACCCCCGTGAAAGGCGAGATCAGATCTCCAAGAATAGAATAGCAAAAATAACCGTATTGCCTTCTAAATTTATTATAACAATTGCACATTTATAAGAAGAAAAAATTATGCGGTTTATATGTCGCATTCTCCGTACACTGTTTCAGATTAAAATACTTTTTTTTGTAATGTTAACTCAATTACTTGGAGTAAATTGCAATCTCATTGTTTTATAATTCCAAAGGGATTTTACGTCTTAAATGTTGGACGTAAATACCGAACGCCTTTCAAATCGACGAATAAATCCGGGAATCGTGAGCGTTGATCTGTTTTATACATAAAAACTCTACAAATTAATTGTATAATTTAATATTTATAATCAATATAACGCATAAATTAATATTAAATACGCTTGGGCTCTGATATAGGTTATTATTTATTACCGTTGGGACAGACTTAGGTATATAGGATACTTTAAGAAATGTAACAAAAGGTATATTATTTTCTTATCTTTATATATATAATTCTTCTGATCTGGGAATTGTTTAGATTCACAATTTTGTCCGCTGGACAATGTTTTTTTAATTAATTTTTAATTTATTAGTTGTTGATACAAACGTTTTTTTTGACATTAGATTTGACAACTAATTAATATTTCATTCATTCTGTCGCACTTCAAAACACGGAGATTTATGGCTTTAATAGGTAAACTCCAAAAATATAAATAAAAAAAACGTAACAGATATTTCTTGATTATAGGGCGATACGAAGTTCGTTGGGTCTTCTAATATTTTTATATGATAGTACAAAATAAGAATAATAATTTTGTATCATTTTCAAGGAACATTACAACGGGCTCTTAATTTGTAATACTATTTGATTTTATTTGTTCTAAATAAATATAACATTATAATTATGTTGATAACAAATATTATAATATCAGATTACCTTTTATTTACAACATACAATGCTTGTTTATTGTGAAACTGAACCAGAAATATTTCATGTATGGCGTCATGGGGAAAATATTACGAGCTGATGTAGAGATCATTATCCAATTTTATAAGAGAAAGTAAATAAGGTATATAATGCCAACAACTAACTGACTCAACTGAAATATTCAATGACTAACTCTTACGGAATGACTCAAAATGATGCTGAAATAATATAACTGAAGAATTTTTGCTATGCGATGTCTTTAACATTTTTTTAGTATTTAACAATTTCTATTGGGGCTTGATATTGTAATTTTTACAAAACTTAAACTTTTTAGTATTATGTATTGGTATTATTTTACTATGATAATCAAAAAATGTGTTTTTTTTATTTATAATTCGCATTTCATTTAAACTATTTATAATACTAACAGCGGAAACAAATGTATTTAATTGTCTATAAAATTGTACATACATAACAATAATTATATTGTTTTGCATTATTTTTATTGAAATGTTCCGTTACAACAGAATATATAATGACGAAAAAAAAAACGTTCGCATTAATTTATTCATATGCCATTGACGCACGTTTCTTATTCACTGAGATCCTGGTGAAAATGTTCCGTTCAGCGAATATTCCCATCCCCTGTTTGAGACCCTTACGGTGTTGGGTGTAACCGGGTCCGCCCTCCTCACGGCCGTACAACCATTGGCTGTTCAGAACCTCGCTCGTACATCTTCCCGTCCATTCGCTGGCTCCCCACTGCAGACACCACGTGCTCCCACGGTGGACACTAGGCTTTATTTTACGCGCGGTCTCACCAATTCATTTAGTCGCTTACCCGACGCCACGCGTGTCACTTCTTTTGGGTATGACAATTGCGATTAGTTATGGATTACACTAAGATCCCGCATTTCGCGCTCTTCAGACAAGCTTGTACTGTGATAGTTAGGGTCAGGATGGACCTGGTGGATACCTTCAGGCGTGTGGCTGCCCAGATGACTGACCACCCCCGGTGTACACGCAGGCCCTCCACTTGTGAAAAATGTTCTAGAACTAGATCAATTAGCAAATATAGTGACTGTGATAGTGATTTAGTGGACAAAAATCGCCGGTATAGAGCCAGTGCAGCGAGAAGCAGTAAGCTTATATACATATATATTTTTATATATAGATACTTTTTATATTCAAAATTTTTGCTCAATATTTTCAATTGAATAATTATTATATGATTCCCGGGTACCTATGTTATATAAATAGTTTAAAATAAATATAAATCCCAGCTTGTTATATAGAATGAAAAATCAGAGATGTTTTATCGTTATCATTAAGACGAATGCTTATCAATACATAACAAATATCCGGTGTTTCGAACGCACCCTGTTCTTATGCCCCTCGTTATAAATCCAACATCTCTAATTGATCTCACATTATCATCCGAGCAAAAACGTTCCGTTCCTATACTATGTTGTACACGAAGAACAGAAGTAACTAACTAGTATTAAACTGTAATTAAACAAGTGTACTGTTACCGGAATGACATATCTGACTAAATGTTTCTATCCTTTAAGAGTTGTACAGTTATGTCCGTCGTCGGGAGGGGGCTGTTTCGTAATGAGTATCGCGATCTACACTCTATATAGGGATATAAAATGATTAAAGTACTATTAAACACGGTTTGATATGTAACATCTGATAGAAAAATGTGTCCAATTCAATTAATAAATACGTCGATTTTATAAATGAGTGAGATCTATAAACTGAATGACCGATTTAAGTGATGTTAACTAAGATAATGTAATCTATCAAATTACAGGAGTCCATTTATGTAATGTGAGTAAAAAATTCAGGTTGTCTTATGAGAAATATGAAAATCGTCTTATATTTAAATAGCGGTTTTTTTACGACTTAAAATTAAATTAATGTATTAAATATATATCTAATAAGGGTTATACATTGGTATTATTTTATTTAGTAAAACAAAATATACTCTGAAAATAATTTTCATTCAGTAACGAAAGATAATATAAAATTCAGAGAGCTAAATACTTTGGATTTGTTGCGTAAGATCGCTATGATAAATATTATGTAGGTGTTATCAATCAGCTAATAAAACTTTGTAATTAATAAACGTAAATTATTTGAAGTATTGCAGCTTTCAAACCAAAATATTCAGAAGATTTTAGATATAATAAGTTTTCGAGGAAGTAAGTATAACAATTGCATTTAGTAAATTGATTAAGATATCTTCACTGGAAACAGTTTACAAAATGATAAATTAATTACGTAAAAGCCCCTAATACATGTCTTTATGTTCCTCTGTTTCTTATCAAATGTCACCGAAGAACTTAATTACAAATAATACAAATATTAATATAAGATTTGCATAGTAAATAATTTTTTTATCGACATAAAAATCAACGAAACGGTAAAAAATATAATTGAAAATCATATATCTGAGAATAAGTACTAAATATGGGTCATTGTTAATTAAAAATTACATACATATTACGCATAATGAAATATTTGATGTGTCCCTTTCATAACTTATATATTTTTCTCTGGATGTCTTTTATTAAACAAAAAGTATTTTGCAAAAATTATGTAAAAATTACTCGTTATGTCATTAAATTTAATTCGAAGAAAATTTTGCGCTCGTTTCGTTAATTTCTCGGGGTCAATCGCCGATGGTACTGTGGTATTACCATTTAAAGTGATTTTCAGTTAATGAAGTGTGTATCACCGTGTACCGTTCAGTAGGTTCTCTGTCCCGCAATAAACGCCCTTATTATAAGCAGTCAAATTTTATTACTACCTTGATTGTTAGCCGTGACTTTTATTTGTTTATTCAATGTTATATTTAACTATTTTAATTGGTAGATCCCTTCACGACGGACATAATGCTGTTATCATATTACTGTAAATACGTATAAATCATAAGGACGGGAACCCAAAATTTTTGAATGAGATCGCTGTCGATAACGAGCCCGGTCCGCGCAAAAGATACAAAAATCATCAATAATTTGACGCGCATCATTTCGCAACAGGCCGCGGAGACGTTGTTCGCTCCGAAATTTTGACGCGTTTATGTTCTGAATTTACATAATAATTGCGGAGGCGCCGATTGCGTCCGAATACTGTTCAGACTTTTCTCGGTTTTGGAGCCGAAATTCTAGTTAGCGGGCGCGCGATTTCTTTTTAAAAAGGTTAACAAGGTGCTCTCTTTTGGGTCGTTTTTCGTGCCGCGCTGCCTCCTTTTGTGTACGAGCGAGCTGTTAAAAAATAAACGATTTCTTTGTTTCTCGGGTAGTCGAGCCGACCTCCGACGCGGTCCCTACTTTTTTATGCCCCCTTATAACCTGTGTATTACCTACGTGTAGGTATCTACGGTTTTTATGGTCGCTCGGTCAGCTCTTCAATGGGCTAAGGAATTCGATCGAGTCTCCTCTTTGTCCATTTATTGTTTTTTATAGTTCGTAATTACAGATCCTTAAATGAGCCACTATTGAAAGTTCGTCAATACGAAAACATTTTTGAAGCTAATTACATCCACAAACTTTCATACTCCATTGTCGTTAGCTAATTAATGTGTATTTAATTCGGTAACAAATAAATCAAACTCTTTTTTTATGTATATTTTTAATTAATGTTAATTTAAATCGTATATAAATTAAGTAAGTACATACAAAACTGTATGAAGTGGTGACTCTACATCTTTTTACGAGCTGACCTGTTTTTTTTTCTCTGCTTGAACTTTTGACGGCGGCGGCGGTCTCGCGGTTGCTTGCTTTTGACCGGAGCACTAATAAAATGTTATGATCGTGTGTTTAACGCGTGTTCTGTGTCGGACCTTCTTTTGACATGATCGTTATTACCCGACTCCGCCTTTGCGGTCATCCTTTGTGTTACCACAGTAACAACCTTGTTATTGTGTCAATTAGATGCCAATACGGCGTCTATCTCTAAATAAGGGCCTATTTTGTTAAGTGATTTATTAGATGTATGGAGACGTATTTATGAGTGAGAGAATTGATAGTGCTGTCTCACTCGATCCTGAACGAGAGGCGTCATAATCGGAGCCCTTTCACAGGGTTTAGTTAAATAATAAACGCCAATGCACCCTATAACTATAATTTTCTTTTATTTGACCGCCGCACCGCCGCGGGCTGAAGTACAAATCGCCACAAAACTGGCTAACGAGAGCTGAGAAGAAAAAAAAACTCACGCACACAATTTTACATGAACAAAAATCGGGTTTTAGCGAAAATTATATGTAAAATATCTGCACATATCTACAATATTAGAAAATAAAAGCCTCTTTGAAAATTAAAAAAAAAATTCAATACTTTGTTTTCATCAAAATTATTCACTGTAATACAAAATAGTAAAGATTTGTAACATTAGTCACTTGTAATAGACATAACACTCATGATTCACACATTGACTCAAAACACTGGAAGAGTAAATAAAAGACTATTAATGAGTAAGAACGAAATGCGCATCGATTATCTTATTAACAGGTGATAAATTAAAATCATATTAACTTCAAAACAACTTTGATATGACTTTCCTTGTAATAAAAACATAATTTTATCGTAAACAAACTATCAGTCATAAAATTTTAAATATGTTTGATGGATTATTATAACTAAATACACCAATTGTATACAATATTGTACGTGAAATGTCGTAATAAAGTCGGAATTTCGGTACACATTAGCGTTTGGCAGCCACCGTTAAACTGTACCGCATTAGTGATTCACGCAAGTTGACCGGACAATTAGCAAAAGGCTGTCCACCTCTGGGGCGCGATGTATTTATTCATCGGATGTTCATCGATAACCATAATCGACACTATCGCACGTGCTGCATACGGAACAACGGACTAGCGTTCCATTGACGAGATGCAGCACAAATTTGTCTAATTGTTAATTGATTTTAATCGCTATTGTAATGTTGACGATGTATCGTTCTTATTACAAGGGAATTTCAGTGTTGGGGATTCCTCAAGTAATAATGAGAAACGATTCTTTTTTAACATATAGGTGTTATTTGTTAAACAATGACATACATTTTCTTATAAATCATTTGTTTTACTAGGATACGTCAACGTCTGTGCCGCAGTCTGTCTCGTGCTGCTCGTCGGCAGTCTCTCACCACAAACAGCAGCTGCACCACATAAAAGATCAATGGATTCTTCAGAAGAAAATGTACTATGGGGAAATCCCTGCGATTACAACTCCAATGTAAATATCTCTCAAAAATTTTATATGTTATATTTTTATTACGAAATTTTTATCTAATAGAAAATATATCTTTTCAGCAAAAATCAACGGGTGCCTACACAGCGGATCTCGCGAAAAAGGTCGCACTCCAAGCAAAGAGCGCCTACGATTCAACGGCAAAATACAAAGATGAATTCGTAAGTGTTATTTTTAATATAAAATTATAATTGTTCGCTTTCATTGATGGTTCCAAGGCAGCGACGAGACAATCGCAACGTAGTATTCGCGCTCGCATCGATATGCCCGCCGCGTCCTTATAAATGAACGGACGCACGCTGCCACCGGTCAATACCAATAAAATTTTAAACTAAGGACATCAGTGCATACCTTTAGGGCTTAATATGATTTTATCACTTCATGAATGAAAGCCATACACTATTTCAGATCTTTAACAATATTGAACATATATTATAAACTATTTATTTTATGTTCAATTTTCCAAATTTGCTTTATTTAAAAATCAAGTGAAAATTTAATGCCATTTTACTCAAGCACTTGGCCTGGAAGAGAGATTTTATCGAAGCAGGCGCCGCCGGTTTCGCCTTTTTACGTCCGGACAGAGTCGCTTCCTCCCTTTTGATTATAATTTCGCAATGATTTCATTCAAGATTCATGTTTCTGACAAATCTTAAAATCAGATCCATTAAAGTGCTAAACTGGACATTTATATTCAAAGGCGAAACTAATCCGAGTTACTAGAAACATTATAAGACTGTTTATCATTTCAATCCGAAAATCATTATATCTTCGAATCGGAAATACGGTGGTCGATCTACCAGCTATAATGTGATGTAGCTGTCGCGCTTCGAATCCTTTATGGGTGACCAGATACCATTCTAATTATTTGTCACATTCAATGAAATGCCGGACATATACATTTCCTTTACAATTGGTTCTGACTTAAAGGAGATGTGTTTGAGGCAGTCAATGGATATGAAACAATGAGACGGTTACGAATCAATTCATCGAAGTGTTGTGTGTGGTGTTGGCATATGAAGTATGGTAGCATTTGTAATAGGCTCGCCGGTCGTAACGACGGCGACGTCCTTTCCGCTTGCTGCTGCCTCCCCGTCGTAAAATGACATTATCGACGCACAGTAGCCGGAACGAAGTACAGGACGGTGCGCATACGCATCGAATACTGATTGCGCATTAATATTGCGCGACACACCTGCCCGACGATTTTTTTCTGTCTCTCCCCTTAATGTCGGTCATTCGTCACTAATGGATCATACTTATTGTGATTTAGACGAACTCCGTGCTCGTTTAAGTGTCCTAGCTATTGTTTCAAGGACGACATACTACTCTCAGTTTCAATTAATATTGAATTAATCATGTTTTTAAACACATATGTATGTATATACTTTTCAATATTTCGTCGTTCGTTCTCATACTTTAACAAAATGATGACAAAAACAGGTAGCAGAATATGAAACCGTGTGACATACAGAACGCAATATCCAAATTACTCGCGCTATCATAAGTGTCGTCAACCCATTCCTTATAAATAACTGGCCGCGTTGTACCAAGAACGCAATAACAAATTCAACGAACCCTACCGGTACTGTGTGACTCTGCACCGTCAACCGTGTGAATGCGCCATAATACATGCTTTTAGTCTGTCCCGGTGACGAATTATCGCATCACATTTTAACTCTGAAATTATTTAGATATCCATCAAGAAGCTACATTATTATAAAATGCAACATGTAACGTGATCGGTGAGCCGATCCCCACGCGGTCTCGAGTGGAGTCCACCTGTAGCTTATCGCCTTGTACAGTATGATATATAAACATTGAATTATACATGACATTACAATATGTACATACTTAGTGCGATAGCGTTGTTCACACGGGCGACATGCTGTCTGCGCCGTTGGATGGCTTTGAGAACGTGTGCCGTCAATATATATCATACTGTTTATGTGTGGGTGCATGTTTATTTGATAAGCTTCCGATGTTTCGAGCTAGGTATCCGGATGCTATGTCGTCGAATTTCATAGCAAATGCCCACCCACGGGATGCTTGAATGCTAACTCAGTGATATCTTTGCAAAAGCTTTAACGTATTGTCTTAATTCATTGTCTGCAAATATTAAACGGCTGTATCTATGTGATATCTTTAAGAAAGTAATAATTTACTGTTCGTTCTTACGAAGCTATTATAGAGTTATTTGAGATAATATTTGAGAAAATTAAAACCATATGAAGAAGACTGTTTTAAATGAATGACTCGTTGAGATAAAATATTCACCAGTTTGTACTCGGCGTGCTACTTAAATTAGTGCTTAAGCAGATTTTGGTTATGGCACAATAGACCGGACGGTACACCTGCGTTATGTTATTACATCGCTACCTACGTGACAGCAAATTCCATCTCACAACAACAATGTCATTTATTTAATTTAATCTTAGTTTTTAACGATTCGACGTTTTATATTTACGCCCTTTTGTTATAAGTAATAATACATATTGACTGTTTATTTTATCTTTTCGTAACTAATAACAATATGAACAAATTTTCAAATTAAATTATTGCGGTGATCGAAGATAAGGATGTTGTATAATATTAATTTTTCGGGTGTTTGTCACGATTTGTAAGCATGTAATCAGCTGTATTGTTAAGCAACAATATTTCAACAAACTCAACGTGCCTATCAGCGGGGATGACCAATTTCTATTTACGAGTTGCATCTGCTGCATATTGTCACAAATTTTTTGGACAGTTTCGTAATATAATAATGCTAGTAATAAAGTTTGTTTTTACTTTACCATTGTTGTATGTTCTGTCCAGTGTCAAATTTTTATGTTGGAACGGTTTAGTTACGTGACATGTAGATGATAGCGACGGTCGGTTTTCGAGTTTCGGTCTCATCTTTCACACGTCCTTGGCTGCTTCATAAAATCAGTTGATAATCTTGAGCGCTTAATTAAATATTTTGATTTTATTTTTTTATTGATTATCAATATGGTTAAAGTATCTTAGTAGTTGTACTAATTTTGCAGCTACCATAATATACGAATAGTAGTCTTAAACAAGATACACATTCACTTTTATAATATTAATAGGATTTAAAATGTAACGATCTTACCCGGGCTAGATGCAATGGTAGCGTGGTATAAAGATGATCTGTCACAGTTTCCTCTTGCATTGTTTTATATACCGCTGTTAATAAAGGAAGCAGCGCACCATCTCATCTTCCGTCCAATCGTCTTTTTCCATGAAAGTCAATCAACACTATGAACTAACTAGTATCTATTTTTATCATTCAAAGAAATCAACGAGACCCGTGTCGTGACAGAGCTGATTCATACTCGTTAAAGAATAAGAACTATACTTTTAATAAATGGGATAAGACAGTTGATGGACAAACAGAAAAACTTTATAGAAATTTTAAGTTATACTGTCCTAAACTTGAAAATGCTATATCTATTTCTAAAGCTGAAAAAACATTCCTAAACCGAATTCTTTTTTAAGTTTATTATTAAGACACTATAATGAATTTATTTTGTTTTGTTGCAGGCATACAAGTTGCACAGTTATGAGAGGTTTAACGACTTGTTACAAATGTGGAGTAGCAACGAGTGGCTGCGAAACTTTACCTGGTTCCCTGAAGAGGGGTTACCGAAAGACAAGGTCCTATACCAGCGCATGTCCGATGCTTACATGGATAAACTAATGGTAAGTGATAATTGTGTTAATATAATTCATTAATCAATTATGGTCAGTCAATTAATAAATTATATCAGTATCAGTAGCAATTATTCTCTATGTTCAAAATGACATCCAATAAGTTGTGCTTATATTTTGATTGAATATCTTTTTTAATTGTAAGACGCAAGAAATGTTGCTATCTGAGAGTTGTCTCGTTAAGATAATGACGGTTACTTAACACACCCGATCTGATTGTTTTATAATCGAAGGGCGGTGAATTCGCTGATGCCAAAAACGTGCATCCGTATAAGTTTTTCAATCGATTTCAAAGAATCGACATCGTCGGTGGCACTTATTGTTGTCAGCCGACTGTCGTTTACGTGAGAATACAAAGGTTTTGCAATGTGGACGGTTTTATATCAGTTGTAATCAACGAAATTGTACTCATATGAATTATGAGAGATGAAATAGTTTAAATTTTGTTCCGATAAATAGTTTTATATATAAAAACATACATATAAAAAACATCAGTACTCCTAAAGTAAATCTATGCAAAACAATAAATCTATAATTAGTGATTATATCCTATACTAGTTAAAACTGTTATATCTAATAACATTATTTCTATTGTTCACAGAAACAAATTGACAAAGTGTTACCGTCGATGTACAAGGGCTTGAAGATGGTGGTGGCTGGCTTGGATTCCATACGACAGGACTTCAAGCTTAACTCCAACATTCCACTGGACTCGAGCCTAGAAAGAAACATTATGGAGAGCATGCACGAAGTACGGGCTGTCCTTTGTTACTTTAATGTAAGTATAAAGAAACATATGTCTTATATAGATATACATCAAGTTTTCTATAAGATTATGTTTAAATGTTAGCAATAAATTTTATAATCTAAATCAGTTGAATGTGAATTTTCTTTATAATAATGACTTCCTTCATTGCAGGACATGATGAGATCCCGGGACCTCCAAATATTGCCATTGCCTAACACCGAGGTACCGAACATCAAGGATGAAGACAGGCTCTCATACGCGCTCCTGGTATACCGTGACACCCTCAACTATTTGGAATACCTGAATCAAGTGTTCCAGAAAATGTACGATGAGGATTCTCTTAAAGCCAAATAAGGCTAGCATCGGTTGTGTTAACTAAATTCAGTTGAGGAGGCGGCAACTGTTACGTTTAGCCCCGACAGGGCGATATCTACTTAATTATTGGTGCTTTTATTTATGATGTGACATGTTTGTTGACGCCACTCACTCTTTAGTGAGCATCTTCAAGTTTGTCTTGATATAAAACACATTATTTATTGAAAAACGGTCTTAATATTTGAAAATTAATCATTTTAATAACCTCTGGAAGTTTTACATATAATTTATAATTTGTCTGTATAATATCAAGGCAACCTTGTAGATGTAAGAGCTCTAATTCGTTGTCTTAACGCAATGAATCTCCTTATAGTTCAATTTTTTGCACCTTTGGCTGTTGATAAAGTAGAAAGTCTTTGCCATTACATTGCCATTTTGGTCTAGAGCGAATTAGTTCCTTTTATATGTTTTTTTTTTTTTTTTGTAAATAATAACGAATTTAATATGAATTATTTATTAACAGGCAACTAAACATTCGAAATTTTCCGATATCCTAGTCAAGGTTTTAACTTATTTATTTCTTAATCATGAAATTGATTTCTTTGTTTATGGTATTATTAGTATAGTATTATTCCATTCCACCAAACTTGATAGATGTTGGTGTGTTAGTAAATTATTTAGTTGAATGTTGTGACAGTGGCTGGTACATGATTATTGACAATTTCATTGACATGTGACTGTGCGGTCGAGGCTGCGATAAATAATTTTAATTGTACATTTTATATTATAGTTTCATTGATTTACTTGATCCTTTGTTAACTATTTATATTCCTGTTACAGAAATCCAATGAAATATGACAAGCTTTAATAGAGCTGTTAATTATATTATTGTATAGTACAGAGCCAGTGTATTTATGAATTAATCATTATTTGTACAGTTCAAATAGTATTTATGATTTCGCAAACATAACTGCTATGTTTGTGATATTAAATTATTATTACATTTAATTTGTTTTGTCTTTATATTCCCCTGTCGCAATTCACATTAAAAATATCAGTATTAGCCAACACGATTAGATTAAATATACGAGTATAAACATATGCTTGTCAAGTTCATGTAAAAATAATTGATTATTTAAATAAAATATTTATATTTTTAACATGTCTCTGTTCCCATGACTTGGAGACTCGAAACAATTTCATATCTTTACACAAACCATTCACGAGTCAACGTATTTGCATTCACTGTCGCCTTGTCGAATTAGAGCTGTCACACTGAAAATAAAAAATACATCCACGTATTTCCTTTTATATACAAAAATCCTTAACCTAAAGCAATAAGAGTGATAATTGTGTAGCAATGAAATCGGCTTCTGAAACTGCCGATCAACGGGGCCGATATTTATTCGATGCGTTAGTGGTGCTAGATGTCGCCGGGAGTCCGCTAGGTGTTAAATTTGTTTTGGGGATTAGTTATATGTATAAAAATTTAGCTTGACCTCCTGCCTAGCCGCCGAGTAAAAAAAAATTCTACCCTGAAAATATACTATTAAATTATAGGAATGAATTTTAAAACCTAAAGACCAAAACTCCTGAAATAAATTAAAAAATGATGATTGGTAAGAATATGTAATTCTATATGAAAATTTAATCATTTAAGTCACTGAACCAAGTAATCAGAAATTAATTATATCATTATAAATATGTATATATTTTAATACAGACTTTATTCATAATCCGCTCAATCTTTAATAAATGCAATAGAAATCCTAGAGTGAACCTTAACATTTGAACGATATTTGGACGAGTCACAATAAAATGGTTAAAAGTAAATATCTACCGCAGTTACCATAAAGTTGATGTATACCAGTATATTCTGAGCTGCTGTACAATTATAAACCGAAATCTTGATCTCATTTGATCTATCAAGGATACTTAAAGGATTCAAAATATTACCACATTCGTATAACGATCCGTCGGCGAGTCACAATGACATTTAGGGCTAACCGAAGCAACATGCTCGCTTTATCTCACTCACGTTCCCTTGTTTTATTTATTAGAAAGATTTATTATTTACCACGGGGCACACACACGATGTGTCACGAATGTGGGACGAAAAAAAGTGGATATGGTAATGCGCGACCCGTTCGCACGTGACAAACTTTTTTTTTCATTCGCTCGATTCCTTTTGCTTGAACTTACTTCCTATATTCTTAATGGACATGAGCTATGGAGAAAATTTTTGTATGACTGTTCTATGTATTGTATGCAAATTGTTACTATTAACATTCTTTTTTATTTTAAATTGGTCATCATAATTTACGTGCTACTTAAATGTTGTGACGAAAATTGTGTCACGATGATAGTATTAACAGCTATTTAATTAAAAGTAGTACCTATTAGTTTCAAAAATATTTTTTTATCCACCTTAAAACAACCTTTTACCCACTCTTGCGCAAGACCAGTAATTTGCTCATTCCATTTAAATCTGCAAATTCAAGCTTTCGACTTATACCTTTCGATGATTTCGTTATTATTTTCCGCTTCCAAATTGGATGGTGAATATTAATAAATTGTATTAGAAAGAAAGCTTATCTTTTATAAATGATTAAGATTTAAGACTAGAATTTTTCAGGAACTTTGTGATTTATTGTAAATTTTAAAATTAAATTGATCGAAGCTAGTCTGCTTTATAAAAATGAAATAGATATTAAACTAGACCTCTCTTTTATAAGCTCTATTCAAACACATAATAATGCGATATATGACAAAACTGACATGAAATATGCAAAAAAAATAATAATTAAGATTCAATGCCGCAAAAAAAAATTAACCTGCAATCTGGATATCCCACGACACTTACGCACTATTTAAAAAGGGCAAATAAACTGATTGAAATCATACTTGACCTGCGCAAAACCACACGTCTGCCATGACCGAGTAGACAAACATACACACAAAAAGACGACAACATTCGTTGTTTGACATTATCTGTGTACTTTACGAGCCCACTGAGTAAATAGAGCTTGGGACAATAGCCAGTCTTAATATAAGGTAGTTTTAAAAGTTTCTGTTTCGGATTTATTTAATAATAAAAATATTTACTTTCATTTTATAAAAATCTTTATTAATATTATCCCTACTAATATTATAAATGCGAAAGTAACTCTGTCTGTCTGTTACGCTTTCACGCCTAAACCACTGAACTGATTTTAATGAAATTTGTTACAGATATAGAGTAGACTTTGAGAAAGAACATAGAATAGTTTTTATCCCAGACTTTTGAAAGGTTCTCTTGGAAACGCGATATAACCGAAATCCACGCGGGCGGAAAGCTAGTATTAAATAAATGTATAAGTATAAATCGTTTCCCACCCTTATTCATATTTTTAAAGTAATCTGGTACAAAGGATGCCAGTATACTAAAAATGGTCCGTAATTTAATATCCTTAATTAATCTCTGAATTACAGAAACTCTAACAATGGGCGAGAAATAACTAATTACTTAGTTATACAAATAGCTCCGAAAAATATCACAGGTTATGTTGGCGTTTTTTAATCTTATATTACGAAATAAAATACATATAAACTATATTGAGTGTTTTTTTAAAGGCTCATTCTACCACAGTCACAATTTTATTATATATATAAAAAGCTTGCCAGATACCATGTAGAAGAGAGCGGTAACATCTCTTATAATCGTCGCAACATTACAAGCGTTTATCTCACAATTAGTTATATCTCAGAGTCTCACTTCATTTAGTTTTACTTTATAATAATTACTTGTTACAGACACCGACGTTTCTTGTTCAAACAATTAAATAAATACCACCGGTGTCGTCGCCTTTAGCTTTTTATACAATATAACATTCCGCTTTGGTTTTAAGTGCTTATGTACAATTATGGTCTTTATTAATTATGTCATTCATATATGAATATCGTGTATATAAATTATGAAATATTGATTATTTTATATTTATTTAAATTAATAATTCAATTAAACCATTGAGAAGAACTGTAAGTCTTTTCAAGACATAAGGAATTCGTCAATGAGGAACTTCTGTAAATAAAATTATTTTTTAATTATAATTGATGATGTTTTTAGCTTGTAACTAATATGCTGTGTAGTAATAATATAAAAATAGATTAAAAAAAATATTATATAACCGATTTTAGACAGCAAAAATCCAAATTTAACTTATCTCAACCTTTAATGAAAAATCTCGATAAAAACGATGTCAGTAACAATAAAAAGTAAAGGTCGTGTAATACAGTATTGCTTAAGTAAACGCATGCAGAATGTAATATTTCCTACAAGGAAAAATGACGGATAATGGCAAGACACGAGGAAATATTAAAAATCTTCTAAATTACAGCGTTATAAGGAATAAAGAACGTTCTGAAAACAAGGAAACATTATAGGTATCTATTATTCAATCAATAGCTATACGTAAAAAAACATTTAAAATCAAAATGCTTATGAGGAATTAAAATTATTTTATTGATAGCATCTCCTTAATGAAAAGAGGTTGCTGAAACTAAACAGTTTAGGATTTATTATATTTAAAACAATTCTGCAATTCTATTCTAAGTCATGTACTCGCGAAAATAACAGAAAATACCAAGCATTCTTGTCAAGGGTTACCAAGTCGTAAGCTTTGATTGTTTTACCTTAATTAATCCGATTTATAAGATATTTTCTTCTAGGATAATAAAACCGAGGACAGCTAATATATTTTATACTATACATTCTTAGATCTCTTTCTTTGCTTTGACAACGGATAATTTGGACCAGGAAAATGGCCAGAATGACCAAAGAAACTTGGAGGTAAAATTCCATAAAAATTATAATCATGCATTTGACGCTAAGAATATTGCATTTACTATTCGAAGCTATTCATATTTTTTAAATGATTATAATTTTAATAATAAAAAATAACAATTATTGATCCGTGATTGTAAAGCCCTGTTTTAAACGAAGCAGTACCCTTCAAATCTGTATATTATTGTATATTTATAATGTCAACTTGACCTACAAT